TCCACATGGATAGTACAATACAAATCTGTTTATTTATAACATTATATTTAGTGTATAATAAGGGTCCCATAAGAATGCTGCTGTAAAAAGGACCGCTATGATCACTTACTTTAAATTACAATAATCACTGTTTCTAGTTCACTGTGTATTTGTGTATATCGACAACTGTTTTATTCACTCGTCACACATCCACAGGCTGCAGGATGAATAGAGCTGTTCTCTTCTTTCCTATTTTATTTACTTGACATCTGTGTCCAGTTCCACTTTTACTTGTCTGAACATTGCTATTAACTCATGGTCCCTCAGTCAGTTTCTCACACCCGATGAGGAGACCAGAAGATCAGACTGGGAGTCTACACCCTGGACTCTAGACCTGTGAACCAGTCCCAGTCCCAAACCTTGACTCTAGATCTATGGACTAACCTCTGTCCACACCCTAGATTTCTCTAAACCTGTGGATCAATCCAGTCTGCACTCTGTACACCATATAAGGTCATGTCCAGAAACATGTGAGTGTATGAAGTCCCCAAATGGATAGTACAAATATAAATCTGTGTATTAATAACATTCTATTTGGTTTGTAATAAAGTTTCCACAAGGATAGTACTATATAAAGGATCATTGTGATAACACTAATGTTTACTGTTTCTAGTTCACTGTCCATTGTCTGGCATCTGGGTCCATTTTGACTATTTCTTGTTGTCTTTATAATGCTAGTCACAGATTGTCCCCTGTTTTATGCATGTTTTTAGATAGATAGATAGATACTTTATTGATCCCCGTTGGAGAAATTCAGGTGTACACTAGCAGCAAAAACAAAGAATAAATTTGAACATTTTAAAAAGCTAACAATAGTAATAATCAGCAACAGCCCTTCGGGTCACGGCAGCAGAGGTGGAGCAGCCTCTGGGTGGAGCAGGACGGGTCACAGCAGCAGAGGTGGAGCAGCCTCTGGGTGGAGCAGGACAGGTCACAGCAGCAGAGGTGGAGCAGCCTCTGGGTGGAGCAGGACAGGTCACAGCAGCAGAGGTGGAGCAGCCTCTGGGTGGAGCAGGACAGGTCACAGCAGAAGAGGTGGAGCAGCCTCTGGGTGGAGCAGGACGGGTCACAGCAGCAGAGGTGGAGCAGCCTCTGGGTGGAGCAGGACAGGTCACAGCAGCATAGGTGGAGCAGCCTCTGGGTTCGGATCATTTTCTCTGCTCTAGTCCAAAGTAAAATTATGAGACCCGAAAACCAGTTCCAGTCTGCAGCCTGTAATCCTGTCAACTAGACCCTTCAAGACAAATGCTATTGTGATTTTTGATTCACTGAACAAATAAAGTTATTGTTTTGAAGGTTACTGCTAACACATAGTCTGCTTTGTCCGTGTTGTGAGTCGCTATGCCCTTGTTATTTCTCTGCTTTCTGGATTTTTTAAGCAACTGATTTGTCTTCAATCAAGAACCAATCCATCACACTTTATTCATTTAGTGTTTCACATGATGTGAACGTTCCAGAAAGAGCACAGCTGAGTGATCCTCATGTGAACTCAGTGGATCTGCTGAGTTTCTCACACTGATAGTTGGTTTTTCAGCGTCTGACTCTGAGTCTCACAGAGAGTGTCGCCCTCTAGTGGAGACACTGCACTATTGTGTTGTCTTTGCTGCAGAGGTTTTTGTTCAGAGTGTTGGTGTTTCCTGTCAGTGTGGGCTGCAGAGCACAGTAGTACACAGCAGAGTCAGTCACATCCACAGCCTCCATCTTCAGAGACAAAGAGTTCCCCACGAGCTCAGCACTAAACTTGGATCCATCAAACTCTGGAGAATTACGGCCATTTCCATGTGTGTCTCGCCACATCATGTACTTTGGAGAAACACCATCTTTCTGTCTGTACCAGTACAAGTAGGCGTTTGAGTAGAAGCTTGTTGTAAAGTTGCAGATGAGTGTGTGAGTGTGTCCCTCTCTCACTCGGTCCTCTCCTGCTGCCTGCTTCACTGTGTCTTGTCCGTTACACTCTGGAGAAGAACTCAGCAGCACAAGCAGAGCTGAGAGCAGTGGACACAGGACACACTCCATCTTAAAGCTCAGATCCTCTCAGTGTGTGCTGCTCTCTTACAGTCTGCTGTCCTCAGCTCTGTGCTCACACCTGTCATTTCCTGTATCAGGCTGAGAAGTGTGTTTACCCTAGTGGTCAAGTGCTGCTACTGCAAACTCCACTATTGACCAGATGCATCAACGTCATCAAGTCACGTGATTGTGAATGAGCTTACGGCGGAAGTATTGGAAACTAGCATTGCTGCGAGAGAGAAAACGGACTACAACTCTTAAAAACGGAGCTTCTTCTCCTAAATCGAGAAGTGGCTGCTTCAAGCACATGTTCGATTACGTTATAGGTGGAAGTAGGACATCAGGTCAGGGCTCACAAAGAGTGGTATTTGGAGAAGTTAAGGATTGCCTGACTGGATGTTGACCCGTACCTTCTCCCCCCAGTCAATTGTATCGATTAAATAAAATGTCTATTTTTGCCCAAATTCACCCTACATGATCTTTATCATTATCGTTAACAATGCATCCCCTCACACTGGAGCAGATTTACATGTACATTTTGCTGGTAGCATTAGCAATAGTCCACTTTTCTGTGGCTTTTCTGTCTACAGCCAAACATGATACGTACTGACGGAGAGGAAAATAGTGAAACACGCAATTGACTTAAAAGATAAAAATGTCAATGTTGCAGCGCACATACAGGACAGTAGTAAGAGACACGTTTGACGTGTGTCATTGTCCTCCAAATTAATGGAAATAAAATAAATACAAACTTGTGATTGCTGTATCTTGTAAAAAGTGTTCACTGCATATTAGGGAGTGCTTGCATGGGTCCCAGTGCTTTTGGTTGATTGCCGCTGGCCATCGTCGTCTTCTGTCTTCATGACGAGCAGGTATCAGATAAAAAAGCTTATGTCCTTGTCTGTTAGTATAATCAACCGCACTGCAAAATGTCACAGTTTTGGCTGTAATGCGCTGAAACCGGTTGTTTTGGTCAGGTGTCCGTAGGCTCGCAGTTAGACTTCTGCCGTCTGTCATGGAGAGTGGGCGTGGCCGGGACGTCACATGCAAGGGGTCAATAGTCGCGTTTCCACTGCAGGAACTTCAGGGTAATTTTAAATGGCCAGCGCTGTTGGTGCGTGTCTCCACTGCAGGAACTTCCCCCACAGGGCCATTTACAGGAACTTTTACGGGAACCAACGGAGTACCTCCCCCATGCTAGGTGTTCTGTTAGGCCCAAAGCGCCAAAACAACCAGTATTCTTAAAATCCAGCAGCATTAGCCTAGTGGCATTAGCCTAATGGACATAATTGGAAACAGCAAACAACAACAGCAAGACGTATGATACGTGGACGGGTGATGAGGTGCAGGCAATTGCCTTCCACGGCACCGTTGAAATTCAGACAGGGTTTGAGGCATCGCAGCAAAATGAAAATCAGCTTTACCGCGAAGCACTGGGGATTCATCACACTCAGAAAAAATGGCGTGAAAAGTAAAAAAAAAAAAAAAAGTTGCATCTCCATGAACTGGTAAAAAAACCATACGCCCACCCAGGTGCATGAATGCGCTGTACTTCCCCCTTTTATCCCCTAGGTGCCACTAAACTAAACCTACACCAAACTGAAGTAAACCCAATATAATCTCCAAAAATATCTAAATTACCAAAATAAACACAAATGTTAACTTCAGAAAAAAAATTACTAAATATAGAAAAATATACAAAATAAACCCCCCAAATAAATGTAATTAATTTATCCCACAAGCAAATAGCTCCTACAACCACAACAACTGGAGCAGTTCCGACCGTAAAATAAAAAAATATTGATTAGGCGGCGATCGAAACTCAGGATGTCGCCGAGGGGTCCTACTCTGCAGTGGAGACACGGCCCCTGCAGAGGCCGAGTGAGAGGAAGGTTCCTGTAGAAGTTCCCCCTCCTTTTACCAGGAACTCCCCACAAGGACAGACTGTATAAAAGTTTTGAACACTAATAATCACTGTTGTTCACTATACATTGACAACTGTTTTTTGAACTCGTCACACATCCACAGGTTGCAGGATGAATAGAGCTGCTCTCATCTTTCTTACTTTGTCTGGAATCTGTGTCCAGTTTATGTTTTACTTGTCTGTACATTACTATTAATTCATGGTCTCTCAGCGTGTGTGGGTCCTCAGTTCCTCCAGAAACATCATATTACAGCAGTATCTATTCACGGAGCTGGACCATGGATGTATTAAATTATTAACTGGTACTTCTGTAACTTTGCCCAAAGCCCCCACTGAAAGATCAAGGCTATGCTCACACTCAGAGAGCAGCCGTCCTCCTGTGGACTCACCACCTGCAGAGGGTCAGTGAGGGGCTGGTGCTATGAGACTTGGGTGGCATCTCTGACTGCCACCCCCCTGACCCAGAAATGGATTAAAGGGTAGAAAATGGATGGATGGATGGACTTCCGTATCGACAAACACATTAGAAGCACTTCATGGAAGAATGAGAACTCAGGATCAAGGCACATGTTCAAAAGAAGTGTGTCCTCCATTGTCAGTCCTGAAAAGTCCTAAAAAGATTAAAGTGTCTTTTGGTTAAACGGTGAAACAGACCATGTGTTAAAAATCTAAAAAGCTAAGGTTGAAAGGTTAACATTCTTGAGTTTAAAAGAATAATTATAACATTTTAAGTTACTGTAAATTTCAAAATTATTAATAACTGTAGAAATCAGAGTTAAAAAAAACAGATCAGATTTAATATCTGGGTCACTCCCATTATTGAAACACCTGTGATGTCATCAGTTGGAGTTCAGGTTTGGGAGCACACACATGTTCTACCTGCGGCTGCTGAAAGAGACTGTGATGTTCATGTTTTATTTTGTTTAATAAATGGATTTAACTGGATTATGTCTCCCTGATCTTCAGTGTCAGAAAACTTTCACATCTGGCTTGCTGTGGCTGTTTTTAAAGGAGCCATTACTGCACTATTCTAGTCTTTGCTGCAGAGGTTTTTGTTCAGAGTGTTGGTGTTTCCTGTCAGTGTGGGCTGCAGAGCACAGTAGTACACAGCAGAGTCAGTCACATCCACAGCCTCCATCTTCAGAGACAAAGAGTTCCCCACGAGCTCAGCACCAAACTTGGATTTATCAAACTCTTTGGACTGGAAACTGCCAACCCCTCTTGAAATGGCCATCATGTACTTTGGAGAATCACCATCTTTCTGTCTGTACCAGTACAAGTAGTCGTTTGAGTATATGTTGGTTGTAAAGTTGCAGGTGAGTCTCACTCGGTCCTCTCCTGCTGCCTGCTTCACTGTGTCTTGTCCGTTACACTCTGGAGAAGAACTCAGCAGCACAAGCAGAGCTGAGAGCAGTGGACACAGGACACACTCCATCTTAAAGCTCAGATCCTCTCAGTGTGTGTGTGTGTGTGTGTGTGTGTGTGTGTGTGTGTGTGTGAGAGAGCCACTCTTCAGCTCTGGTCACCTCCCTCTTCCTCCCTCCTCCCTGATGTTGGTCTCATTCAGGAAGTGTTTGTTCAGCTACAGACTGCTCAGACGTGAGTCCACACATTACTGTTCTCTAATCTCAACCTGTATTTTCTCTCCTCACCCCTTTTCTGTGCCTGTCTCCCCCATTCTCGCCCTCTATCCCTATCTCCCCCTCTTTCTCTTCTCCTATCTCGCCTTCTGTTTCCTTGTTTCCCCCTATCTGTCCTATCCACTTTCTCCTCTCTTCCCCTCTGTCTCTCCCTCTCTTCCTCTCACTCCGTCTCTCTCCCCCTGTCTCTCTCCTCTCTCTCCCTCTCTTGTTGTGGGGCTGAGTAACCATAGATCATGTTTTCTTATGCTCTTTGAACCTTAAAGTAGTACTAGAATTTAATATGCTGCTATCCAGAATATATAACTACAATATCTGTTTATAATACTGTTCATTTTGACATGTTCAGATGAATTATGTTAAAAAACTGCTTTGAAGTGGCACCTTTTCACTTCCGCATAGAAACACTAGGGGGCGCCAAAATGGCGGCGATGACGTAGGAGAAGGACCTCTCACAGCAGCAGCAGTCTGGTTGGAAACTGTAGGAGGTTTCACTGTCATCTGAACAAGGTATAAACATATTTTCATCAGTTTTGTACATAATAGTGTGCAACTCTAACCTTTTAGCCTTATTTGTGAGATTCAAGCTAATTAGTGTTGGGCAAGTTAGCTAACTTTACTTGATATCATAAAACATGCTAACAAGGCTAATATTCGTTTTTACATTATGCCAGTCTCACTTTGCCTTAGATTTATTTACCACAATGTACATTGTAATATCCATAAATGCTAACACCTATTAACGGTTTAATTTGCATTTTTATCAATGATTGCATCACATGTAGTCTATGTTTTCAACTTCTGCAGCTTTTTGTTCATAAAAGTAAAATATTTATTTAATTCAAGTTATTTTGATTAGCATTTATGGATATTACAATGTACATTGTGGTAAATAAATCTAAGGCAACCAAAGTGAGACTGGCATAATGTAAAAACGAATATTAGCCTTGTTAGTGTAACATCCAGACGCTAGAGGCGCTGTGTTCATTAATGTTGTACATCTGTATCGCGAGACCGGGTTTGAGAGTTTATGTTGGCTGATAAAGATACTTGACGTACTCTACATGGTGGTGATTATTTTAACACAATAACATCCCAGCCATAGCCATAGGGCAAACATAACAGTTAGCATGTTTTATGATATCACGTAGAGTTAGCTAACTTGCCCAACACTAGTTTGCTTGAATCTCACAAATAAGGCTAAAAGGTTAAAAGAGTTGCACACTATTATGTACAAAACTGTTAAAAATATGTTTATACCTTGTTCAGATGACAGTGAAACCTCCTACAGTTTCCAACCAGACTGCTGCTGCTGCTGTGAGAGGTCCTTCTCCTACGTCATCGCCGCCATTTTGGCGCCCCCTAGTGTTTCTATGCGGAAGTGAAAAGGTGCCACTTCAAAGCCGTTTTTTTAACATAATGTGAGATTTCATAACACTTTTAAGCAACTTTTGTTAAAGTTAAACTCATCATTCTATCAATGTGCAGAAGCCAGTACTTTTCCCTTGTTGTGTCTATCTGAAGGCCAAGCTACATGGCACTGTGGCAGCTGCTGATTGGAGGTCTCCATGCCTCCGCTCTGTATAATACACTTGCATTCTCTTGTAACTGTGATCGTGTGCTTTGTTCGTGCTGTGTCTACCATCGACAATAAAACATGTCTTCTGTCTGAATTTAAGACGCGATCCCAGACTATGTCATCTTCTTCAATAATTCATCTGAACATATCAAAATGAACACCCGAAATATTATAAACACATATTGTAGTTATATATTCTGGATAGCAGCATATTAAATTCTAGTACTACTTTAAACTACAAATCTAATCTGTAACCTGTAAACATGTATCCACATATATGCACAAGTGTACACCCCCGACCCTTCTGTCTAAAAGATGTTTCCAAAGTCAATTCACTATTCTGCAGATTCTCAAGCCTTTTAAGTTAACTTTGTCAATATGTCTTTCCAAGTGCGTTCACGTTTCTAAGTATACAGAGTCCACTGATAGACCAGACTTTGTTCAGTGTTGCTCCCAAACCAGTCCGACCAGACTTTGTTCAGTGTTGCTCCCAAACCAGTCCGACCACCCAGGCCCCATTCTTCATGCAGGTTCTTTATCTGATGGAGCAGCTCTCACACGCTTTTTTACTGTAGGACTCACTGTTGTTACTTTGAGAGTTTGATTTTCACACAGGATCAATAAGAGAGACCGGAGAGAGACCAGAGACTGAGACAAGAGGGAGACTTGAGGTATAGCAGAGGGAGACCAGAGATAGAGCCCGAGAGAGACCAGAGATAGACCCTAGAAGGACCAGTGATAGACCAGAACGTGACCAGAAAGAGAGACAAGAGGAAAAAGACTAAAGAGAGAGACCAGAGAGAGACAAGAAAGAGACCAGGGCCAGACTAAAGGGAGACTAGAGTGAGTTACCAGGGGGGGACCAGAGAGAGAGACGACATCTTTATGATCTGAACACCTTTATTTGAAAATAAATTGCTTGAATCGTCACTAATGTGTCTTTGTTTCATTCTTCTTCTCTGCCTGCATGTCTGAACTTTCAAGCACAGCTATGTATTGTATAAAGTGGATTTCATATTGAGGACCATAAAGATAAATGTTTTCTGAACTCAGGTTTGGACCATGGCGTCTGGCTGTAATTCCCCCTTGGAGATGGCGGCGCTTGGTCGGCCCTTCCACCTCGGGATGTTCTACGACTGCAGAGCCGACAATCTGATCCCAGGTCAGATACACACACTCATATACACACACACACTCATATACACACACACACACTCATATACACACAGACACACTCATATACACAGACACACTGATACACACAGACACACTGATATACACAGACACACTGATATACACAGACACACTGATATACACAGACACACTGATATACACAGACACACTGATATACACAGACACACTGATATACACAGACACACTGATATACACAGACACACTCATATACACACAGACACGCTCATACACACAGACACACTCATACACACAGACACACTCATACACACAGACACACTCATACACACAGACACACTCATACACACAGACACACTCATACACACAGACACACTCATACACACAGACACACTGATATACACAGACACACTGATATACACAGACACACTGATATACACAGACACACTGATATACACACACTCATATACACACACACTCATATACACACACACACACACACATATACACACACACACTCATATACACACAGACACACTCATATACACAGACACACTCATACACACAGACACACTCATACACACAGACACACTGATATACACAGACACACTGATATACACAGACACACTGATATACACAGACACACTCATATACACACACACTGATATACACAGACACACTCATATACACAGACACACTCATACACACAGACACACTCATACACACAGACACACTCATACACACAGACACACCCATACACACAGACACACTGATATACACAGACACACTGATATACACACACTCATACACACACACACACACATATACACACACACACACACTCATATACACACAGACACACTCATATACACAGACACACTCATATACACACACACTGATATACACAGACACACTCATATACACGCACACACTCACACATACACGTTTTTGTTACCTGGTGGGTCCCTTTGACAGGGCCGTTCAGAATGGGACCCATAGACATAATCTTTTTTTACCAAGACTTTAAGTAATACAAAACAGTCAATAGAAACCAAACAACTATTTTAAAGGAATTTTATTTTAGATTTTGTTTTCGAATTGCAGTGATTCTATTTTTGACATAGAATTTAATGCCACTCCATGTCCGATGTCTAAGGTCATCTGGTGAGGCATTAATGCAGGCCAGGCAGTGAGACTTCCCAGGGACCTTTCCAGTCTGTATGAAAGGTGTCATGGTCTTCTCCACAGCCTTCACCTCAGATGCAGACCATGGCTTTCTTACACGTTTCTAGGGAGAGAAATAAAAATATATTAGCAATATACACTCCCAGGGTGAGGACCAAGCAGCCTGGCTGTAATCCCCCACCTGGTACACTTACCAGAAGGGGCACTGCCACTACCATGGGGTGCATCTGGATGAATGGTTGAAGGTTCTCCGCTTGAAGTTTCTTTTAGCCCGTCCGTTTGTGAGAGGATCTCTACTGCTCTCCCTGTCGCACAGAAAATAAAAATACAAGTGGCCTTTAGGGGAAAAAAATCATACATATTTTAATAATATCAAGAATTACCTTCAGGCTCAATTTGTATCTGGTCGAGGCTCTTTCCTTCGAATTCCGTCACTCTTCCCTGCTCCATGGCCATCAACACTTTGCTGATTTTGGCCAGCTCCAGTGTCCCCTCTGGTAGTCTGTAATATTGCCTGTGGATGCGAATGTCATGGCCGAGGAAGTTGGCAAGTATGTCCATCTCATTCTCTTTCATATTGAGAACTGTAGACATAGTAGCTATGTGCTTTCTAAGTTTGGTTGAGGATAGCATCTCTGGATGCACCGCACCACATTCTTTGGCTACCTGGCGTAGGGAGTCTGATCCCCTGATGTGGGTGTCTGCGCCCGGGCGGGAAAAGAAGTATGGGTTATGGTCAGAGATGGAACAGGCCCTTCTGTTCTCCACCAGCACCTCCATCGAAGCAATCATTTCAGGAGTCAAAAGAACCGGCACTTTCCGACTTCTTTTCCCTTTAATTTCAATGCGTTGAAAATGCTGACACAGCTTTTTCTCAAGTTGGGACAGTCCCAGAGCAATGTCAGAATGGATCCCAGTCTTACTTCTTAAGGTAAAGGCTGTCAGTGGCATCTTTGAAACCTCACCTTCCCTTCTTCGATTGAAAATGATGACCTCACAAAGAGTCAAAACTGCCAGTTTAGACCAATGCTTAGACGTTGGCTCACTTATTAGGGTTTGCACATATTCAGGTCGACATACCTCAATATGTGCATGCATGGCTCTAACGTCCTCAGTCAGAGGGAGCAGGTCCGGAGTGTTCCACTTGGCTTGCCGGAGGGTCTGTAGGGCAGCAGAAGAAACACAGACGTCCCACCTCTTCTCAAAAAGCAGCCGGCTTCGTTGGAGGTTTTTAATAAATAGTTCATCAACACAATGCTCCATTTTTGAGTCACATTCAAGAATATCTGCTAGCTTTCTGAGGCTATGGCCGAGTTTGAGGGCCAAGGATGGAGTCTTGTATTGATTTGTTTCCTCATCATATCCAGCCACAGACCTGACTGCATCAATCACATGGTTAAAGTTGGAAGGAATAAAGAAATCCTTAATTGTTTTCAGTTTCCCTGCGGTTTTTGCTTCGTTAATTAACCTACCGACTTCTCTCATTTTCTGCCTAATGTAATCATGCTTTGTCTTATCATGCCCGTGTTTTAAGTACAGGTGCTCTCCGAGTCTCAGAATCCCCTTTTCTGCTTTGACAACACCCGTGACCTCATCCTGATGCATTGCCGAAATTAAAGACCACAGCTTTTTGCTGATGCCCTCCGGTACAGGCTGGGCTAGGGAGCAGAGGGACTGGACCCTACTTCTACCTGGTTTAGCCTGGGCATCTTTCTGTGAAAGCCGGCACCTGGCCACATGCCTCCACAGCGACTTTCGCTTAAGCAATGCCCCACAGTCTATACAGTGCAAAAACTCACTGGATTTAACTGGGCAATTTGGCTGTTTAGCTGGGACTAAAGTTCCAATGCCGGCCTTTAAAACCTCAAAATTGTGCTCACGGTTTCCACTATTCCTGATCAAATCAAACTGAAGTTTACGTGCTTTAGATTTCACAGGTAGAGCCAATGCTCTGGCTACGTCACTTTCATTTCCATGTTTTCTAGTCAAATGACGGGACATTTTGTGGCAGGACATTGAACAGTAGAGGCAGAAGTGTCTCTTGCTGTATACTCGCCCCCCATTTTTCTTCTTTTGCAGCTGCATGATAACAATCTTATTTGCCTTTGGTTCGTCACTTTCCGAGTCTTGATTTTTCTTTTTCCATACTTTTTTACAGGTTTCTTCTTGACAGTTAAATCGTCAGAATCTGAGTCGACTTCATCAATTAGGGACTCTTGACTAAGCTGCACAAACAACAAATAATTTGTAATCATTCTATATAACAATTTGAAGTCATGACTTGTAGTCAGCACTTACCAGTGGTTTGTAAGCGTGCGCTTCAGTGTGCTCCTCCATGATTTCTTGCAGCCTAATGAACCACACACTTGCACCTTTTTCTAGCCTGACACCTGATTTCCTCTGTTGTGCTGCTCCATGATTGGCTCCAGCCTGCTGGACTGAAATTGCCCCAGTGTGCCCCTCCTTGATATCCCGCAACCCACCACCAGGGTTCCGACACATAACACACTTTTTTCAGGAAAGTAAACCTCCAGGGGTCCTTTCCATATTTTTACAGAGACTGCATAAGGACCGTTAGAAAAGCATTACCCATTGATTATTAAGCTTGGACCAGTGGGGTCCGGTGTTCGGGCCCTACCACGTAAAACCAGTCCCCATGACGTGAGTGGAATCTCAGGTTATGGAACCCACCAGGAGTTGAAAACAAGTGCATATACACACACACACTCATATACACACACACACTCATATACACACACACACTCATATACACACACACTCATATACACACAGACACACTCATATACACAGACACACTCATATACAGACACACTCATATACACAGACACACTCATATACACACACACTCATATACACACAGACACACTCATATACACAGATACACTCATATACACACACACTCATATAGACACAGACACACTCATATACACACACACTCATATACACACAGACACACTCATATACACAGACACACTCATATACACAAACACACTCATATACACACAGACACACTCATATACACAGACACACTCATATACACAGACACACTCGTATACACACACACTCATATACACAGACACACTCATATACACACACACTCATATACACACAGACACACTCATACACACAGACACACTCATATACACACACACTCATATACACACACACACTCATATACACACACACTCATATACACACAGACACACTCATACACACAGACACACTCATACACACAGACACACTCATACACACAGACACACTCATATACACAGACACACTCATATACACACCCACACTCATATACACACACACTCATATACACACAGACACACTCATACACACAGACACACTCATACACACAGACACACTCATATACACAGACACACTCATATACACACCCACACTCATATACACAGACACACTCACACACACACACACACTCACACACACACGCACACCAGAACAAGTCAAAGTCTCTGTGACAACTTGGGTTTATGACAGTGATAAGAAGAAAACCGTTGGACCAGAGTCTGATTATTTCAACTCTTCTCTGGATTCTTGGTCATGTGACATGATGACAGTTCTGAATTGTAAACTGTGGCACTAAAAATGTTGGAGATTGCTGCTCTACACTTCTCCATAGTAGTGATGTTCAGCTGACTGTGCTGGTAAGGCAAGGCAAGGCAAGTTTATTTATATAGCACAATTCATACACAAGGCAATTCAAAGTGCTGAACAAAATAAGAAAGCATTGAAATAATAAATAATCACAGAACATTAAAAAGAAAGATAAAAATATAAAATCCCTCAGTTGTATGCACAGCTAAACAGAACTGTCTTTCACCTGGTTTTAGACATTGTCAGAGAGGAGGCCTGTCTCACACGCACCAATGCTTCATAATGATTCTTTTACGATTGCTCAATCTCCATTATAGCACTGTCATCTACACCAGGAGTCACCTACACCAGGGGTTTCCAAAGTTTTTAGCCCGTGACCCCCATTATAAATGCACTAAAAAGTGCATACAAAAGTGTCCCAAGGAGTCATGTTTCAATGAATGCTTTAAAACAGCTTAAAGAATGATGCACTGCCCTCAAATTGAATAAATAATAAATAAAGCTGTGAGCTGCTGTGAACCAGGTTTGATTCTTATAAATAACATCCAGGGGCGACAGTGGCTCAGTTGGTATAAGCATTGCCCCTTGGGCGTGAAGGTTGTGGGTTTGATCCCCTCACGAGACCTACTCAAACTGATCCCACTGAAGTCTGCTGTCGTTGTGTCCTTGGGCAAGACACATAACCCCCAGGTTGCCCGACTCTTCCTCTGAAACACCAAGGCTGTGTAACTGCTAACGGAGCAGCAGCCGTCTTCCCGTGGACCCACCACCTGCAGGAGGATAAGTGCTATGAGCGTTGGGTGGCAGCTCTCATTGCCACGCCCTGACCCAGAAATTGATAAATAAAGGGGAAGAAAATGAATGAATGAAAAAACATCCTCCTTCAATTGAACTTCAGATGTTTAAAATCCTAATCCATCTTTAAAGAAAATAAAGCAAAACTGGGGTTATGTACAATTCCCCATTTTTGACCCAATTCGCAAAAATAAACAATTCATTTAAATTCAAAAATATATAGTTGCCCTCGAGCCATTTGTTCATCTTGAGGTAGCCGTCATTTTGAAAACGGTTTTTTCCACATTAGATGGACTGAGGCGGTTCCATTTTTTCCCATTTCTCTTGCTTTATTTCACCTGTGGAAACATACACTTGACCTGTGGTAACACACTTCACCTGTGGCAGCACACACTTCTGCATTACGTCTTCAGTTTTAGTGCTTATCGTCTCGAAATGTTTTTCAGGCCTGACTCTTTGGGATTCAGAGAAACTGGACAAAGACATGAGAGTGAAGCCCAAACCGAGCACAAAGTTCACGATGGTGGCCGGCGACACGCTCTCACAGAAGGCCTCGTCTCTGGGAGTGGACGCTGCTCTCAAAGCCAGCTTCATGGGTGGATTGGTGAAGGTGCAGGGATCAGCTGACTACCTCAACGACAACAAAAGTTCCAGACGAGAAGCACGAGTTTCTCTGCTGTACAAAGCCACCACCGAGTTCAAAGAACTGACCATGAACCAGCTGAGCACAGACAACATCCAGCACCGCCACGTCATCGACAAGGGCCTGGCCACACATGTCGTATCAGGGATCCTCTACGGAGCCAACGCCTTCTTTGTGTTCCATCAGGAAGTATCTGAGGATGAGAACATGCAGAAAATCCAGGGAAACCTCAATGTGATAGTTAACAAGATCTCCTTCTGCATTGATGGGCAGGGCGCTCTGGCTTTGGCGGATTCTGACAGGAAAACAGTGAACAAGTTCTCCTGCACTTTCCATGGAGATTTCCGTTTAGATACAAATCCAACAACTTTTGAAGAAGCACTAAAGGTTTACGGAGACCTTCCCAAACTTCTGGGCCCAAAAGGCGAGAATGCAGTCCCTGTGATGGTGCACCTTCTGCCACTCAGCTCCATAGACTCTAAAGCGTCCCAGCTCGTTTGTCAGATCAGCCTGAGGTTAGTGTTTGAGGTAGAGAGTATTCTGGAGAACTTCAAAGAGCTGAACATGAGATGTGCCGATGTTCTGAAGAGTCCTGTTGGTTTGAACTTCCCACACATTAACAATAGAGTCCGAAGATTTGAGGCTTCGATCTCTGAGTTCAGGCTGGGACTTGAGAGGATCTTGTCCACAAAGCTCCCACTGATCCGAGGAGGAGGCGAGGACGAGGCAGCACTGGCAAACGTCCTGGAGAAGATGGCGGAAAGTCCTTTCAAGCGTCAGCGTCTGAACCAGTGGATGGACGCAGTGGTTCAAGAGGCCAACACCATCAAAGGCCTCGCACATGTGTTGAAAAACACAGAACTGGTCTCGTGTGATGTCTTCACAGAAAAGGTGTATGGCTCAGAGAAAGCTCTCGTGTTTGTATTCACATCTATGGAGAGCGCAGATCCGTACCTGGAGGAACTAGAGAATCATCTAAAGGGACTTCCCTACAGCGAGTCAAGAGCGGAGTCTAAACGCTGGTACAAGATCAAAGAAGTGATGGACAGAATGAGACACAAAGCGAAGGCGTTTGGAGAATTTGCACTTGCCAACAAAGAGCTTGAAAGAGAATCTCTCCGGTTCCTGGCAGTGGAGATGGCTGATGAGAACCACAAAGATGCAACCGTTCACTTTTATGAGGACGGCTTCTTAAGCAGTGAAAGTTTTGAACTTCCTTCTAAGCCATGCGCAGTGACACAGACCGGAGCCACTATAACCAGTGTATTTCTGAAGTTCACTCCTGCTTCAGTGGGAGCGGAGAACGTGAGCGAATACCGAGTGGAGGTCTGTGAGAAAGGCCAGGAGCAGTGGAGGTATCTTCAGGCCCAGGATGGATTGGCCACCATCACAGGGCTGAAGCCAAACGCAGAGGTCAGCGTGAGGGTGAGAGCTGTGACTGAGGTGGGAGTGGGACCAGCTTCAGCAGACGTCTCCATGAAGACCTTAGTATGCTTCACCCCTGGAGACCTGCGAGCCTCCTGCACCTCCACCAATATCTGTGCACGCTGGACGAGGCCGGCAGAGGTGAGGAACCCTCTCCACATGAGAGCAGATGTACCGACAGAACAACACACGATATCAATGAATGAATAACGCAATTTCACAGAACACAATATCTCACAATAACCCACCACACATGGCAGAATTGGTGCTTTGGCAGCTCTGATTTTGTTTAGGATTGCTGATTGCATCATGTTCTACACACTTCCGCAGTGGAAGTGTGTAGACGTGTTCCTTGGTGCTCCGCTGCTTGCTTCGCTTTGTAATCTCTTTTAATCGCTTTATTTACATTTTTATTCTACAAAACACGGATTACTCCTTCTGCAGACTTCAGCTTTGTGAAATTTGTCAACATTAATCATGTCCGGACGGAAGAAACGAAGACAAATCTGCGATGGCTGCTGCTCTCTGGAAAATGAGCTCAAATTTCTTCAAAAACGGATGGATATTTTGGAAACAGAAATGGGACTTAACCCGACTCTTCCAATGTGTGAAAATGGAATGAATGGACAGACTGGAAATGTAAGTTATGATGACGTAATTACTTTTCCCAAAATCAACAAAGAGAACTATTGGAATAAATGCGGCGCTAAACCCAAAGTTGACAAAGCTAAGAATGACAATGGGAGTGGAATTCTGCCACGAAATGTTTGCAAAACTTCAAATCGTTATGCTGCTCTGTTTGAAGAAGCAAAGCCACAGTCTGTTTCTCCCCCTCCGTCAAGGCCACGGTGTTTGCTGCTTGGAGATTCAGCCATTCGGAATGTATCTTTGAATTTACTTTGCACAACTTATTCTTTGCACTCAGCCAGAGTGTCTGAGATAAGAGCTTTGGTGCCAAAAGTTTTATCTCAAACCAAGGATGTAAGTACATTGTTGATACACACAGGGGCAGTAGACATTTATGAGAAATCCACCGAGAAGTTGAGAAGAGATTTCTCTCTGCTGCTGGATGACCTTAAAAAAATTGAGTTAAACGTGCTAATCAGTGGCCCCATTCCAAATGCAGATGGAAAAATCGAGAAGTTTAGCCGTCTGTACCAGTTAAATTCATTTCTACACAATGAGTGTTCACGCAGAGGACTTGGATTCATTGAAAACTTCAATCTGTTCTGGAACTATCGTCCCATCTCAAATCTGCCATTTATGGGGAAAGTCCTTGAAAAAGTTGTCTACCTACAGCTTACTAGATTTCTTATAATTAACAACTCATTTGATATGTTTCAGTCCGGCTTTAGACCCCACCACAGCACTGAGACTGCTCTTGTCAAGGTTACAAACGATATCCGGCTGAACACTGACGCAGGCAAAGTCTCAATCTTAATCTTGTTAGATCTGAGTGCTGCCTTTGACACCGTCGACCATGAGATCCTCTTACAGAGACTAGAGGACTGGGTTGGAGTCGCTGGCACCGCCCTAAGTTGGTTTAGGTCTTACCTTGAAGACAGGAAGTACTTTGTGGAGATTGGAGACTGTGTCTCAGATCATATGGCCCTGACCTGTGGAGTACCACAGGGGTCGATCCTGGGACCTCTTCTGTTCAATCTCTACATGCTGCCGTTAGGTCAGTTAATACGCAGAAACAAAGTGTCCTATCACAACTATGCAGACGACACTCAGATCTATGTCTCACTGACTGCAGGAGAACATGGACCAGTGGACTCACTCCTTCACTGTATCCAACAGATCAGTGAGTGGATGCAAAACAACTTCCTTCAGCTAAACGCAGACAAAACTGAAATGATTGTCTTTGGTCCCCAGAAACAAAGAGAGAGCGTCATCTGTCACCTACAGTCTCTCTCCCTAAAACCTTCAAACAAGGTCAGAAATCTAGGGGTAATACTGGACTCAGACTTAAATTTTAATAGCCACATCAAATCAGTAACATCAGCAGCTTTTTACCATCTAAAAAACATTGCCAGGATCAAAAACATAGTGTCTAAAGCAGACTTGGAGATTCTTATCCATGCATTTGTCTCCAGTAGGTTAGACTACTGCAATGGCCTGCTCACAGGTCTGTCCAAACAGGCTGTAAAACAGCTGCAGTACATTCAAAATGCAGCAGCTCGAGTCCTGACTAGAACCAGGAAGTACGACCACATTAGTCCAGTCCTCAGGTCTCTGCACTGGCTTCCTGTGGCTCAGAGAATAGACTTTAAAACAGCTCTGCTTGTGTACAAATCTCTCCATGGCCTCGCACCAAACTATATTAGTGACATGTTAGTACCATATGAACCAGCCCGGACTCTGAGGAGCACAGGGACTGGACTCCTGTTAGTGCCCAGAGTCAGAACTAAACATGGGGAGGCTGCTTTTCAGATTCATGCTGCTAAAATCTGGAACAGTCTTCCTGAAGATGTGAGACAGGCCTCCTCTCTGACAATGTTTAAGACAAGGTTGAAAACAGTTCTGTTTAGCTGTGCATACAACTGAGGGATTTTATATTTTTATCTTTTTTTTAATGTACTGTGATTATTTATGATTTTAATGCTTTCTTGTTCTGTTCAGCACTTTGAATTGCCTTGTGTATGAATTGTGCTATATAAATAAACTTGCCTTGCCTTGCCTTGCCTTGCCTTGCCTTGCCTTGCCTTGCCTAATAAGATTTTAAAAAATGTGCTGTGGTCTGATTTGTTCTACGGAATTTACTTTGGGACAAAAAAGTGTATTATTAATCAAACTAAAAACTTATGTCGCCCAGTTTTAAAAGTCTCTTTAGTTCAGTCCTGACTCCTGCAGCCAGGACTGAGCGGGCTCAGCCTTGGCTCAGTATCTGCGCGCCTATTGACAAGTTTCTCCCTCATTCTTGAACCGGACTCTGAGCAGAGGTCATATCTTTGTGAATATTGGCTCTTTTTGGATGCTGTAGGACAAATAACTGCAACAAACTGGAACCATGTTTGTGCCAAGTTAGCGGTCAGTAAAGATTGTGATATTGAAGCCATATTGAGATCAAAGTTTCTTCAATGTCTTTCATGTTGGTTTGATTGAAGAAGCTCACGGTTGTTTGCGTTTCTCTCTTAGGCAGTACCTGAACTTCTCACGTATGTGTTGGAACATGCGGCGACACAAGGCTGCGGCACCTGGAGCGAACTGCAATGCACTTCTGAGCATGGGCTGATCACCGGCCTCCAGCCCAACACCGAATACATGCTCCGGGTCTGCTGCAGAAACAGCAAGACCTACTCCGAGAGCCTGACCGTCCGGACCCTAGCCGTCAGCCCGGCCTCGCGCCTGGCCCAGGGCAGCCGCAGGACACAGGCTGGACCGCCGCAGAGCTGCCAACTCAATGTCATCAAAGAAGAAACTCAAGGTGATCACATAAAGATTGTGTTAGGACCCAAAAGCTCCAGGGAAACATGTTATTTGGTGGTTGTTGGTGCAGTGGGATCTGGAAAAAGGTCTTTCATCAATGCAATGGTGAACCACGTACTGGGGGTTCGATGGTACGACTGGTTTCGCTTCACAGTGAACGAAGGCGTAGATGAGTCCCGGTCTGCGCTGTACGAGATAAACCACCAGAGCGGGTTCAGCTTTGACAAGACGCTCAGCATCATCGACACGCCAGAGTTCGGAGGCAGCATCCAAAACAGCGACATCCTGCGACAGCTCTTCTCCCTCTTCAACTCAGAGGATCCGCCCATTCGAGAGGTTCACCTGTGCCTCGTGCTGCAGCCGTGTGCTCGGCTCACGGACACACAGCTCTCTGCTTTGGAGCTGCTTTACCACAGAGCTGGAGATCTGACTGAGAACATCCACATGGTGCTGACGTGTGCCGCAGACGATGCAGCTCCAGTGCTGCGCAGCCTCATCGCAGCTGGGGTCCCGTGTCCCACAACGGACGAGGGTCTTCCGGTCCACCTAAGATACAACAGCTGCGCTCTGTTCGCTTCAAACAGCTCCTCTGCTCACACGAAGGACGAGGTCGACTGGGACCAAGGAGCGGCCAGTGTGGAGACCCTACTCCGACGGCTAGAGACCACACAGCCCAAGTACTTCTGGGGTCCGTTTGATTATTTGCTACGGTTTTTCACAACAGAAGAACAATGAAAGTACTGTTAGAAGTAGTGATAGAAGCATTGTTGCTTCTATCACTACTTTTCACACACATGTATGTAGGGCCTAAGTCACATGTTGTCACTCAGCATTTTCAGACAGAAAAGTGAAAAGAGAGGACCACCCTCACTCTGCCATCAGTGCTCAATGTGTAAAAGATACAATGTTTTTTAATAAAAGAAACCTGCCGTGGCCAAAATGTAGTCTGGTGTGCTCCTCTTTGATTGGAATGATAACCTGCAGTCACAAGACCCTTTGAGGACCGGTTTGACCGCTCTGGAATAGACCCTGGAAATGTTTCTCTCTGCTGGCCTGAAAACGCCTCAGGACTCCCCCAGATGAGTTGGAGGAAGTGTGTGTGCACAGGGAGGTCTGGGCGTCTCTGCCTCAGCGACCTGGCAACGGATAAAGTGGAAGAAAATGAATGGATCTCGACCGCACTGCACACAATAATCTAGAAGTAGCACTATGTATTGCCCCTTGATTTCAAGAAACTGTGTGTAATATATAAATTATAAAAGACATAACAGGTTGTATTGTTTATAGTCGTATTTGAACTTTACTGGACCACAGCTTAAACTATATAATTGATTCTTGTTTATAAACTTGAAATAAATCAATCATAACTGGAGCTAACAGAATTACCACATGTTTAAATGAAAGCAGATGCAAAGATTAGTGTCATATGTAACACACGGAGCTCTGAACGTGGCGACCATTCTGTGTCACGACTGTTTGGCACTTTACAGTTGCAGCCGCCTCACTGTGGCACCTGGTGTTCCCAGAGGTCTCCCATCACAGTACTAACGGGGCCCTGTCCAGCTTGGCTTCAGAGACATCACAGGATCTGGCGTTCACATGCAGATATAGCCACATATTCCACATTAGACCATGAAGAGACAACATTACATACCATCCAAGAAAGTTTAATGTCTGCAAAGTGGTGTTGTGTGGCCCCCCAGTGGACGTCAGAGTTTAATGTGAGCGCTGCCCCCACTGAGAGTCTGGGCCAATATGGTATGTTATACATCATTTAAAGCTAATATTATCAAGAAAACAAGCAAACTTTTTTTTCACACATATGTATATTATCATAAACATTGAACCCTAAAAGTAATAAGTGGGAATAAAGTTACCGTTTTCCTGGCCCCAGAGAGAGGGGAGGGTTGGGGAGGGTGTTATGGGGACTTATTGCACATGTTTTTAGTGGAAAAGTGGAAAACCAGAGCACCTGGAGGAAACTGCATACACTGGAAGAACATGCAAACTCCACACAGAAGTTGGATGTGATGTTGCATTTTATTACTATTGTTAGTAACTTTTAGAATGATGTATTTATTTGTTTTGTTTGTATGGATGCATGTGTTTCTGCTGCTACTGGACATCTGAATTCCTCCTATTGAGAATGAGGAGTTGACGTCACGGCACAGAGTCCCCCCTCCCCATCCCCCCTTTGCCGACATATTGGCTGCGCACCGGTGGCGGCAGTACAGTTTGTTTACGTGTGTTGTGAACGCGGTAGTAGCGGAGGTTCTTGCTATTCCGCACTGTTTTATCATGCCTGGAAATAACTGCTGCGTTAAAAACTGCTCCAATACCTCCCACGATGGATATGGAAAACCTAGTAACAACGGGATACAGTTTTTTAGGTTACCGAAATGGAAAAAGCATCAAGGGGAGCAATTCTCTGACCTGACAAGGAGACGTCGGATTGCTTGGTTGGCTGCAATTAGAAGAAAGGACCTTACTTTCGATCACACACCCCTGTCGACGAGAGTGTGTTCTCTGCATTTTCACTCTGGTACGTTCTCTAAAAATGTATTTATGTAGTTGTCTCTTAAAGCTAGGAAGTGTAGGTTAGCATATGTTATTATGGTTTCTGTAGTGCCTTTGTCTCTGTGTCTTTGTTACCCTCTCAGGCTGTTTCTTACTTAGCACGTGTTCTGCGAGGTCTTTGCCAGTGTAAAGCATAGATTACATAGATTGTACACATAATCTAATTATTCTGTTGTACATAAACCTTCATATGACATTATGAGGTGACCTAAAAAGTACTTGAGATGCTGTTCATGACATAGTTGCCAGTTTAAAGCATTGATTACATAGATTGTGTAAATTATTATATTAATTATATGTTGTTATTATTCTCGTGTAGGTAAACCAGCATATGAGATGTTGGAGAACCACCCTGACTGGACACCATCCCTGTTGTTAGGCCACAATGATGTACAAAAAACAGATGAAGCGAGATATCAGCGGCAAGTAAGGCGCAGGTCCCTGCCACTGGAGCGGCAGCCACCTCCAGCCCAACACCAGCCGCAGGCGCCGCCGCCTCCAGCCCTAGACCAGCTGCAGCCGCCACCAGCCCTAGACCAGCTGCACCCGCCACCAGCCCTAGACCAGCCGCAGGCGCCGCCGCCACCAGCCCTAGACCAGCCGCAGGCGCCGCCGCCACCAGCCCTAGACCAGCCGCAGGCGCCGCCGCCACCAGCCCTAGACCAGCCGCAGGCGCCGCCGCCACCAGCCCTAGACCAGCCGCAGGCGCCGCCGCCGCCAGCCCTAGACCAGCCGCAGGCGCCGCCGCCGCCAGCCCTAGACCAGCCGCCAGCTGACCCGGACATGGAATGTGGACTCTGCACATCTAGACGAGATGTTATCAACAATCTTCTTGAAGAAAACAGACAGCTGAAGCGTGAGCTTGATACGTACCGGATGAATGAAAACTTTCTGAGTGGTGATGATAACACAGTGAAGTATTACACGGGGGCTTCCAAACTTTGCATTGTTCCAGACACTTCTACTCTACCTAACTCCAGATCTGCCTCAAGGTAGAATGAAGAAGCTCTCACCCTTCCAGCTTGTCCTATTGACTTTAATGCGCCTCAGACTGGACCTTCCAATACAGCACCTCAGCCATCTGTTTAGAGTACATAGGACAACAGTCGCCGATGCCTTTCACCATACCCTTGGTGTGATGTACGCACAGCTGTGTCCATTGGTGCACTGGCCAAGTAGGGAATGCTTATTGACCAGTATGCCACACCAGTTTGTGGAGTCATTTGGGAACAATGTGGCTGCCATTGTGGACTGCTTCGAGGTGTTCATCGAGAAACCTTCCAATGTACTAGCAAGGGCACAGACTTTTTCTCAATACAAACACGCATACACTATGAAATACCTAATCGTGATCACGCCCCAGGGTATTATTTCCTTCATATCGAACGGGTGGGGTGGGCACAAGCGACAAGCATATAACCGAGCAAAGTGGTTTCCTGAACAAGCTGTTACCAGGTGACATTGTGCTGGCAGATAGAGGCTTTAATATAAGAGAACATGTGGGCATGATGTGTGCTGAAGTGAAAATACCTACATTCACCAGGGGTCGTGCTCAGCTTGAGGCGAAAGATGTGGAGGAGACTAGGGCCATAGCACATCTCAGAATTCACGTGGAGAGGGTGATCGGTGTTGTGCGCAACAAATTCAAATTCTTACACTCAACTGTACCTGTGCACATGCTTGTCAAATGTGAGGGTGAAAACCTAATGCCTTTGGATAAGATTGTCATTGTTTGCTGTGCCTTAACGAACATGTGCAAAAGTGTTGTTTGAGTACCTTATTCTTTACTGTATCTTTTATTTTTAAATAAATGCATGAAACAACTTGATATGGTTTACCAATATTTATTGAGAAATGAATATTTTTTTTGTTACAAACGTGTGCAGTCAAAGTACTGTTTCCAGCATGTAAACATGCCCAACATAGGTAAAAATGATAATAAGAGTCATACTTTTCTTAGTGCAAAGGGACACAAAACACTGCTAAACAACGTGTGCATTCAAAGTACTGTTTCCAGCATGTAAACATGCACAGCATAGGCAAAAATGATCATAAGAGTCATACTTTTCTTAGTGCAAAGGGACACAAAACACTGCAAAACAACGTGTTCCTGTACGGTCCCTTCTCTTTCGCCTTATCTCTAAGCATTGTTTTACTGTCTTCCTTTCCCTTGTTGTATCAGTAGATCCGTCTCTGTCTCGCCGAAAACGTAAATGCGTATAATTTAAAGTGCTCTGGAATATGAGGAGCGCGTGAAATTCTGGGGGCGTGCCCCCGTTGCGCAGCCAATATGTCCGACAGGCTCAGAGCCCCCCCCAAATCACCCCAACTCGGCACGTGACTCCTCATTCTCAATGGGACTCAACAAAGTATCTATCTATTCAGTTGCTTACCCCAGCTTCTTACTGCAAAGTTAAGCCCCCCGCTTTAAGTAGGCAGACACAGAGTAGAATGTAATGTCTTTCTTCCCACATGGCTGTCAGAACTCTCTGGTCAAAAGGCCAAGGGTCAGGAGGCGTCAGGGGCTTGCACCAGGACAGACTGGTGTAATAATGAGAGGGTGGCGCCTGGTGGTCATCCTCAGAACTACAAGCGCGTAACTTTCAGAAAAACAGAGACTCCACAGAAACAAAGGCCTGTACTTTACTCTTACTGCAATAACGGGATGAGTTTAATACTTTGCCTTTGACCAGAGCTGATGTTTACGCGCGTATGAATACTTGTGAGTACTTTTGCCCCTCTGCAGGCTCCACGGCGCAGATGTGATACAGATGTTATTGTGAAGAAGCCGTGCGGAAGTGCGCACTGCCGCTGGAGACGCGTCCGGTTCTCCAAGGGAATCCAGCAGAACTCCAGTCTGGTCCGAGTCTGGGCTTGGTCCGAGTCTGGACTTGCTTTGTGGACTTGCTTTGGTCTCGGTTCGAGTGGCCTGGTCCCACGCTAGTCTCAGGACATGAGGCTCCGTGTCCCCCGCGCTCCTGCCGCTCCTTGCTCCCCGCTGAGGACGCACCAGAGGCGGACAGAGCAGTGAGGAGCATCGGTCCATAGCCCCCAGGTATGTGTCAGTATCAGACTCAGTATCGAGGCTCAGTATGGGGTAGAATAAGTGAAAACGCTGTTGGACTGTTTCTGTGTGAACTGTTTTGTCACAGTCACAGTCCCGTAGTTTCATTATTAGAAAGTAAGTAAGTTAGTCATGTTTATTTATATAGTGCATTATTACAGACCAAAACACTTTACAACGTTCAGAGTCAGATATTTTTTTCATTCTCTCCTCATGGTGACGACATTCAACACCATCCATTCACTCACTCATTACATTCAGACCTAATATACATATTTTGGTGGTAGGGGAAACCTACGCAGACACGGAGAGAACATGCAAACTCCACTCAAGCCGCGTTCAGTGGGGTTAGGCGTTGCGTCGGCTTTCAACGCAAAGTCAATGGTGACGCGCGCTCGAGCACTGAAATGCATGTTCGTCTCCGGATGCACACACGGACTGCACGGCAAAGTCGCGGCAGAGGAGCAGGAGCGAAAAATCGACGCACGCAGGAGATACATTTTGCTGAGCGTTTCCTCGGACGCTCGTGCAGCGACCAATCAGAGAGCATCAAAGTGGTCACGGGAACATTAGTGGTCTGAGCAAGACTGAACATACTGTAAACTGCCAAAACAGGAGCTACACCAGGATTAAACCAGTGTTGACAATGGGGGACATATGTGTTTGTGAACATATACGTTTTCATGCTCCCGTGACTTTATGCAACTGCTTTGAGCGTGTTCGCCGATGCGGAAGTACTGTTTAATAATAAAATAACCGAATGGTGCACCTCCGTGAACATATACTGCTGTTATATAAAGTCTCTGGAAGGTCTCTAGACAGAGACGCTGCAGAGCTGCATTATTGGAGAAGAACTTTACAAAAGTACTGTGATGGGAGAGCTCTGAGCACAGTGCTGCGGCTGTAAAGTGGCAAACTGTCATTCTTTCTGTCCTGAGACAAGACACTAAACCCACATTAGAATGAGTCTGATGTGTGAGTGAATGGTTGGTGGTGGGAGGGGCCGATGACATATACTGGTTCCCTCGCTCCTGTCAGTGTGCCCCAGGGCAGCTGTGGCTACAAAATGTTTGTAATTAATGAATAATGACATGTGAAGTGTCTTTGAGTGTCCAAAGAGCGTCATATAAAACCGATGCATTATTATTTTAGATTAAAGATGGAAAAACTGACTTCTGCAGCGCCCCCTGTGGTCAGTATTGTATGTACAGCTCTGCAGCGCCCCCTGTGGTCAGTGTGGTATGTACAGCTCTACAGCGCCCCCTGTGGTAAATATACATATAAATAATATTGTGAATCCTTCTTGATCTAAAACACTGTAATAAAAAGTCCCCACATTGGTATGAGTCCCTCCGCATCACTAAGCTCTGCCCCTTTACGCCACATCACTGTGAACAAGGAACATCAAAGACCCTGCAGGCTCCGCTCAGACCATCCATCAGTGGATATTATTTTAGAAAAGAAAACAGTTGAATAAAGTAAAACTGTTTTACTGTGTCGACAGCAGGATGAAGACGGCACTTGTGAGCGCGCTCAGTCTGCTCCTCTGTCTGAACTGGACCTGGTCTGAACCAGACTGGACCCAAGACCACAGACCAGATCTGGACCAGAGACCGAAACCAGAAAAGAGAACAGAATTGTACCAGGGACCAAATCCAGACAAGAGTCGGGGTCCGGACCACAGACCAGATCTTAACCAGTTGAAACCAGACCAGAGGCAAGATCCGGAGCAGAGACCAACACCAGACCAGAGGGCAGATTTGGACCAGGGGCCGAATCCAGACCAGAGACCACATCTGATCTTCTTCCTCATCGACGACCAGGTTCCTTATTTGTGAAGTCTCTTTATCCGTGTTCTCCAGAGAGTGAGACTCTCTGCTCTCTCTCACTGAACTCTCTCTGGTCAAATACTAGAGTCTCTCTCTGGTCTGGTTCAGGTCTGGTCTCTGGTCTCATGCTGGTGCTGTTCCTCAGGGCTACAATGACATTGGGTACCATAACCCCCGGATCCTCACTCCCACTCTGGATCGTTTGGCGTCTGAGGGCGTGAGGCTGGAGAGCTACTACGTCCAACCCATCTGTACGCCCACCAGGAGCCAGCTGCTGACCGGGAGGTGTGTGTGTGTGCGTGTGTGCATGCGTGTGCGTGTGTCTCTGTGTGTGTGTGCGTGTGAGTGCGTGTGCGTGTGTCTCTGTGTGCGTGTGTGTGTCTGTGTGTGCGTGTGCCTCTGTGTGCGTGTGTGCCTCTGTGTGCGTGTGTGTCTGCGTGTGCGAGTGCGTGTGCGTGTGTGAGTGTGTGTGTGTGCGTGTGCGTGTGTGAGTGCGTGTGTCTCTGTGTGTGTGTGCGTGTACGTGTGCATGTGTGAGTGTGAGTGCGTGTTTCTCTGTGTGCGTGTGTGAGTGCGTGTGTCTCTGTGTGTGTGTGCGTGTGCTGAGTGTGAGTGCGTGTGCGTGTGTGCGTGTGTCTCTGTGTGTGTGTGTCGTGTGCTAAGTGCGTGTGTGCGGGTGTCTCTGTGTGCGTGTGTGAGTGCGTGTGCGTGTGTGAGTGCGTGTGTCTGTGTGTGTGTGCGAGTGTGAGTGCGTGTGCGTGTGTCTCTGTGTGCGTGAGTGCGTGTGCGTGTGTGCGTGTGTGTGTGTGCGTGTGCTGAGTGCGTGTGTCTCTGTGTGCGTGTGTGAGTGCGTGTGCGTGTGTCTCTGTGTGTGTATGTGTGTGAATATATGCGTGTGTGTCTGTGTGCGTATATGTGTGTCTGTGTGCGAGTGCGTGTGTCTCTGTGTGTATGTGTATGTGTATGTATATATGCGTGTGTGTCTGTGTGCGTATATGTGTGTCTGTGTGTGTGTGTGTTGACACATATTTAATTCAAAAAAAATGGTTCCATCCATCCATTTTCTACCCTTTAATCCATTTCTGGGTCAGGGGGGTGGCAGTCAGAGATGCCACCCAAGTCTCATAGCACCAGCCCCTCACTGACCCTCTGCAGGTGGTGAGTCCACAGGAGGACGGCTGCTCTCTGAGTGTGAGCATAGCCTTGATCTTTCAGTGGGGGCTTTGGGCAAAGTGGGGTTAAGTGTCTTAAAAATGGTTAATTGTCTTAAATGCTTTTTTGACAGTCCATGGTTGAGTTTGATTAGTTGCCACAGCCGTATATTATTGTATTAAATGTTATATTGTATATTACATAAAACGTGTTTCTCATTGATGGAAGTCATTTTGATTGACAGGTACCAGATCCACACAGGGCTGCAGCACTCCATCATCCGGCCGCAGCAGCCGAACTGCCTCCCGCCTCACACCGCCACGCTGCCGCAGAGGCTGCAGCAGCTCGGCTACAGCACTCACCTGGTGGGCAAGTGGCACCTGGGCTTCTGCAGGTGAGGGTGAAACTATGGGAGAGAGGCAGAGTTTACTTCCATGAGCAGTAGCTGTGCCCATGAGCCAAACACTTCTTGTTTTTTTCAGAAAGTCGTGTCTCCCGACGAGGAAAGGCTTCGACACGTTCTTTGGGTCGCTCACAGGAAGTGTGGACTACTACAGGTGACTGACAGCTGTGTGACCCGCCCACTGTGTCTCTATAATCAGATTACACAGTGGTCTCTCTCTGCTCGCTCTCTTCTCTCTCTCTCTCTCTGCTCTCTCTCTCTGTTCTCTCTCTGCTCTCTCTCTCTGTTCTCTCTCTGCTCTTTCTCTGCTCTCTCTCTGCTCTCTCTCTCTCTGTTCTCTCTCTGCTCTTTCTCTGCTCTCTCTCCCTGCTCTCTCTCTCTGTTCTCTCTCTGCTCTTTCTCTGCTCTCTCTCTCTCTGCTCTATCTCTCTGTTCTCTCTCTGTTCTCTCTCTGCTCTTTCTCTGCTCTCTCCCTGCTCTCTCTCTCTGTTCTCTCTCTGCTCTTTCTCTGCTCTCTCTCTCTCTGCTCTATCTCTCTGTTCTTTCTCTGCTCTCTCTCCCTGCTCTCTCTCTGTTCTCTCTCTGCTCTTTCTCTGCTCTCTCTCTCAGCTCTCTCTCCCATTTTATCTCTGGTGTGTAATCGCTCGTACCTGTGTATTTGCAGTGATGGTTCCTGTGTATTTGCAGTTATGGATCCTGTGTATTTGCAGTGATGGTTCCTGTGTATTTGCAGTGATGGTTCCTGTGTATTTGCAGTGATGGTTCCTGTGTATTTGCAGTGATGGTTCCTGTGTATTTGCAGTGATGGTTCCTGTGTATTTGCAGTGATGGTTCCTGTGTATTTGCAGTTATGGATCCTGTGTATTTGCAGTGATGGTTCCTGTGTATTTGCAGTGATTGTTCCTGTGTATTTGCAGTGATGGTTCCTGTGTATTTGCAGTGATGGTTCCTGTGTATTTGCAGTGATGGTTCCTGTGTATTTGCAGTTATGGATCCTGTGTATTTGCAGTGATAGTTCCTGTGTATTTGCAGTGATGGTTCCTGTGTATTTGCAGTGATGGTTCCTGTGTATTTGCAGTGATGGTTCCTGTGTATTTGCAGTGATGGTTCCTGTGTATTTGCAGTGATGGTTCCTGTGTATTTGCAGTGATGGTTCCTGTGTATTTGCAGTTATGGATCCTGTGATGGTCCTGGCGTCTGTGGCTACGACCTGCAGGAGGACGAGGGCGTGGCCTGGGGACACGAGGGCCGATACTCCACTGCTCTGTTCACGCAGCGAGCCCGGAAGATCCTGCAGGAGTACGACCCTCGAGGGGGCCGCCCGCTGTTCCTGATGCTGTCACTGCAGGTACTCACCACTAGGGGCCCACACTCACATCAGGAACCGTCTGGAGCCTGCTCTTTTGTCCAACTCCTCACACTATAGGGTTAGGATTATTAGGTTAGGGCAGGGGTCTCCTACCTTTTTCACCCAGACAGAAAGCCTCATGGGGTGCAGTTACTATCAACAGTTATTATTTCTAATGTTTTACATTTTCAAGTTGTGGGCATGTGATTAATATAGTTTTCAATATTCATAATATTTATGTAAAATCTAAATCCTTTGGGGAGCTACTTGGAAGGGGGTGGCGAGCTACTGGTTGCTCCCAAGCCACAAGTTGGAGACCCCTGGGTAAGGGCATTTTCATTCTCCTCATCTCTCCCTCTCCTTCCCTCTCTATATTAAATTAATAATATAGCAGGTAAAGTGACTAGTGAATTATCAAAACAGATGAATGGCACATGTCCAGGCTCAGCAGTTGTCATTGTACAGTCTGACAGCAGCAGGAACGAAGGACCTAAAGAATCTCTCCTTCACACAGCGAGGGTGGATCAGTCTGTCACTGAAGCCGCGCTCATTGATAAAGGCTCACTCTGATTCTGAAATACTTCCACATATTGGCTTATTTTTTTCTACTTCCTCTCAGTCTGTATTTGGTTGTGTTATATGTGTCTCCCCCGTCAGGCAGTGCACACCCCTCTCCTCGCCCCACGCTCCTACCTCCTCCCGTACCGCTCCATGATGAACCCGAGCCGCAGGAAGATGGCCGCCATGGTCGCCACGGTGGACGCTGCCGTGAGGAATGTGACCTACGCTCTGCGCAAACTCGGCCTCTACAAGAACTCCGTCATCGTCTACTCCACTGACAACGGGGGACAGCCCTTCACCGGGGGGAGCAACTGGCCTCTGCGGGGGAGGAAGGTGAGGGAGGGGAGGCGAGGCTTCCCTTAGCACTAAAAACATGTACAATAGGTCAGATCAAGACCCAGCCCTGTGTCCTTCTCTTCTCTATTCAATTCATGAATACATCGGGGGCTCATGGATTATGGATCATGGTTTTTACAAAATTGTCAATTCACCAACACAGATCAGAGAATCAAACAGTTCAAATACAAGAAACACTACAATGAAAATCACACAGAGCTGTTGGTCCATAGGGGACGGATGACCAGTGTCCATGAATGTCTCTTCTCCTCAGGGCACGTATTGGGAGGGAGGGATTCGCGGCGTTGGCTTCGTTCACAGTCCTCTCCTGAGCCGCAGGAGGCGCCTCTCCACAGACTTGATCCATGTGACAGACTGGTTCCCCACAATGGTGCGGCTGGCCGGAGGGGAGCCTGAGGAGGGTCTGGACGGATACGATGTGTGGCCGACAATCTCCGAGGGGAAACCCAGTCCTCGCACTGAGATCTTGCACAACATTGATCCACTTCATCGTACTCCCAAAGACCAGTTCAAAGACCAGTTCACAGACCAGTCCAAAGACCGGCCCAAGAAGCGGCCCAGGAAGCGGCCCAAAAAGCGGCCCAAGAACCAGCCCAAAAACCGACCCAAAGACAGAGCCAAGGCACCATGGAATGGGTCCGGAAAAGCCCCAGGTCAGTGTTGGAGATATTTACCTTGGACTGTTGGTTAAAGTCTTTCCTTAAAGTCCTGCACATCTGGTCTCTGTGCAGAACAAGGTGATGATGTGATGATGAGAAGCCTCACCACTAGTTCTGTTTTACAGTGAAACCACAGAAAACTCCCAAAAAGAAGAAGAAGATTCTGAGGCAGAAACTGCAGCAGAAATCAGCTTTTAAACTGAAGAAGAAACACAGGGAGCTGTCTATAAAGGCAAAACAAGAGCGAAAGAACCTGAGATCAGAGACCAGAGGGGTCCCGAGAGAGACCGGAGGGGTCCCGAGAGAGACCGGAGGGATCCCGAGAGAGACCAGAGGGCGAGAGACCAGAGGGGTCCAGACAGAGACCAGAGGGGTCCAGAGAGAGGCCAGAGTGGTCCAGAGAGAGGCCAGAGTGGTCCAAAGAGAGACCGTCCGGAGAGAGACCGTCCAGAGAGAGACCGTCCAGAGAAAGACTGACCAGAGAGAGACCGTCCAGAGAGAGACTGACCAGAAGGAGACCGTCCAGAGAGAGACTGACCAGAAGGAGACCGTCCAGAGAGAGACGGTCCTGGGAGAGAGCGACTCTCAGGTCTGTGCAACCACTAAAATCAACAGTGTTGTTTTGGTTTCTCCTCCTGAAGAGCTTTCCTTCAGTTGTTGTGGATGTTCTGCCTTCACAGACTCTGGTTAATGTAACGTAAACATGTTTTCATCCGAAGCCTCTGAACTGGACCTTGAGCCCCAGTGCATTGTGGGACACGTCGGTGCAGGCGGCCATCCGAGTGGGCGACTGGAAGCTGCTGACGGGCGACCCGGGCCACGGAGACTGGGTCCCACCACAGGTCAGAACCCACTAACAAGACCCAAGCACTGAGTGTGTTTCAAAGCACTGGTGAAGCCAGATCTCTCTCCTTTAATCCATGTGCACGGGCCGCGCATCCTGTCCTCTCAGGAAGTAGTGCTCACTGGTCCGTGCACATGGTCCGACAGAGTTAGACGTCAGAAAAGTGTTTGCCATATGCAGAAGAAGCCTATTTGAAGCTAGCTAGAACCTTATATGGGCATTTCTTATTCTGCGCCAGATTTGAGTTGTAACAGGGACAAACTAAGGCAAGCTGGAGTTTCCCTTGCGGATAAAGGCCTCTGATTGGACGATCCTTATATGGCTCATATCTGGATTTACAAAGACAATATCAAAATATAAAGACCAGGATCAGAGATAGATCCTAGTGTCTTTTTGTGCTCTATGAATATGACACTTCTGCTAGAGGTACATTTTAATTTTTAAATGACAACTTCCCTAATGGGCTTCATTAAACTAGTGGGTTAGCATTGAGCTAGCAGGTTAGCATCCTCCATTCAGACACAGTCTCTGTTCATCTGCAGCTGTTCCCGTCGCTCCCCGGTCGCTGGTGGAACCTGGAGCGCTCTGTGTCGTCGTGGCACAAGTCTCCGGAGTATCGCGGCGTGTGGCTCTTTAACGTGAGCGCAGATCCGTACGAGCGCTGGGACGTCTCCGAGCGCAGGCCTGATGTGGTCGAAACGTTGCTACGGCGACTGGTGCACTACAACAGCAGCGCGGTGCCGGTGCGCTTCCCGCCGGACGACAGCAGGTGGGGCTGATGCGCTGTTCGGGATCTGTGAAAACTGCATCTTCTGGAGGAGTTTTGGTTGTGGCCCCACCTGAAAGTGAAAGTAAGATTGTAACATACTTTTACCTGTGTGCAGAGCTGATCCAAGGAGGCGCAGAGGAGCCTGGGAGCCCTGGGAGGAAGAGGAGGAGGAGGAGGAGGAGGCAGAGAGAGCAAGCACTCAGCACAAAACCAAGAAGAAGAAGAAGAGGAGAGGGAAGTGTCACCTGTGTAAACTCAAGGCCTTTTTCCACAAACTCGACATGAACCTCATCTGATCTCTGTCTCTCTGTCTCTGTCTCTGTGTCATCTCTGTGTCTCTGTCTCTCTGTGTCTCTGTCTCTGTGTCCTCTGTGTCTCTGTCTCTGTGTCTCTGTCTCTGTGTCATCTCTGTGTCTCTGTCTCTGTATCGTCTGTGTCTCTCTGTCTCTGTGCCTCTCTGTATCGTCTGTGTCTCTCTGTCTCTGTCTCTGTGTCTGTGTCATCTCTGTGTCGTCTGTCTGTCTCTGTGTCTCTCTGTGTCTCTGTGTCTCTGTCTGTCTCTGTGTCTCTCTGTGTCATCTCTGTATCTCTGTGTCTCTGTCTCTGTGTCATCTCTGTGTCTCTGTCTCTCTGTCTCTGTGTCATCTCTGTGTCTCTGTCTCTGTGTCGTCTGTGTCTCTGTGTCCTCTGTGTCTCTCTGTGTCTCTCTGTGTCTCTCTGTGTCTCTCTGTGTCTCTCTGTGTCTCTGTGTCTCTGTGTCTCTGTGTCTCTCTGTGTCTCTGTATCGTCTGTGTCCCTGTCTCTGTGCTCTCTGCGGCCTCCTGTGGCCTCTTGTGGTACTGCAGGACAGAGAGACAGACAAATGCCCAGAGGAGCATTTGAAAACTGAGCCGCTGTGGTGAACTGTTGAATTGAGGATTCTGAGACAAAGACCGAGTCGTCTGCTTTTTTACACTTTTATATTTAAGGTGTGGTGGAAACTATTCTCTTCTCTCCACGTTCCACCAGTTTCCTGAGTCACTGATCTGCGGCTGTTTCACAAAACGTCTTTCATGACACCGATCTTTTTTCTTCATTTCTGTTTTTGTTGTTTTTAAAGGTGTACAGGAGAATTTTAGGAAAGTACAGCCCTTTTTATTTAACATTTATTTAACCAGGAAAGTCCCATTGAGATTAATAACCTCTTTTTCAAGGGAGGCCTGGGCAAACGCCACATGCAGTTACGAATTATAAAAACAGATACATAAAGATTATAAAACAGTCACATACAAATTCATAAAATTATGGGTTATAAAAACAGTTATGAGGATGTTTCAAGTCTCAATCTTGATCTAAAAGCATTCAATAAAATAAGTTCAACTAAGCCCTCTCCACTTTTTGAACAAAACTGTCTGGTTTTATTTACACTCTAATTCTACAACATTCATGGTCATTGGTCTCTGCCTCTGGTCCAATACTTGTGTTCTATATTCTCTGTGTTTGAACTGTTTGATTCTCTAATCTGTGTTGGCGAATTCAATAGTTTCGTTAAGTCCTCTGAGGTGACTACTGTTGTGATTTAGGACGATACAAAATGAATTGAATTGAAATTGACGAGCACGTATCACCAGAATGATTGACAACTACGGAGGACTAGGGAGGCTTGAGGATCCACCCGGAAGTAGAAAATCCTCCTGTGTACCTTTAAGTTCTAGAAGCATGTGTTGTTTGCGTGACTCGCCTCTCCGCTCACCTGCCTCGTTTCCATAGAAACAGCTCCTTTGGCTGTAATCCGCTCTATAGCTGCAGGTCACATCTGTGGAGGCGAGCTGTTCCTGTCTCTTCAGCGCCCTCTGCTGAACAAACTGTTTCACTGCAAAAGAAACCACTACGAGAACAATGGGAAAAACCTGTTTTTAATAAATTAATTTTAGAAATATGTGTTTTGTAGTGTAGTGTCTGCTATTATAACTTCTACATATATTCATGTATCTTCACATGTATATAATTGTGTTGGGGACATTTGGGCCCAATTGCGGAGACAGCTGAATCTGACCCTTCTCTGGGGTCAATGGGGCTGAGGACATCTGGAAGGACAATAACAGCCTGTAGTGAGACCCTCAGGGAAGACAGACTCAGAGACACAGAGTTTAACCAGGACTGGTCTACAAGATTATTGAATGACATCCGGTGTCCTAATCCATCCATTCTGGAAACCACTCCCCCCTCCCTCTCCACTAAACTAAACCAGCATTTTCTTTTCTTTGTCACAACAGGGAGAGTGGGTGGCAAATGTGAAATTGGCATTTTCTGTTCAGCCCTTTTAGGTTTTAGAAAATCCAATAACTCAGGTGCACTCACTAGAAACAGGAAGAGGGTGAAGGGGGTAAACGCATCCCATTGGTTCGTTGGGGATGAACGAATCCCATTGGTTTATTATTATCGGCCCGCTCCAAAATATGTTTTAATAATTTTTGGAGACTGGATCTGGTTAATTCCATTACTATTTGAAATTACATGATTACTTATACTTTTAGGGTTTAGAGATGTTTTACCACCGTATTTTAAACAATGTGACTGGAAAAAACCACTGACTGCATCTTTAATGTGTTCTTGGTCATTCTTTTTATCTCCTCATTCTCTGAGCTGACCCAGGTTAAAAGCACTGAGCCTGAGTTTGACTTAGTGTGTTCTGATTATGCCATTAAACTCTTACTTGTGTATTAAATAAAGTGAGTAATGTTTATTTATATAGCACATTTTTACAGACCCAAAGCACTTTACAATGTTCAGAGTCAGATATTGTTCCAATCCTTCCACACACGGTGATGACGGAAGCGAGTCCAGAACACACTGGACCATCAGCTCCAACACCATCCATTCACTCTCTCATTTACATTCACACCTATTGTCCATGTCTTTAGTGGTGGGGGAAACCAGAGCACCTGGAGGAAACCTACGCAGACACGAGGAGAACATGCAAACTCCACTCAGAAAGGCCCTGTTGCGACCGGGATTTGAACCCAGGACCTTCTTGCTGAGAGGCGAGAGTGATATCCACTCAGCCACTGTGCCGCACAACTCAGAGTACATTACTGCTCCAACACTACACACTGGTTTGTGCGGGAAACCCATCTGCTGCGAAGAAGATACAACAGTAGAAACGTGGATCAGTGAGAACTACACACACAAAAACAGATAAACACACACACATACAAACGCACACACAAAAAGAAAAACACACGCACACACTTATATACAGAGAAGCACGCACCGAACACAAACACACACTCAGTCACTAATACGCACAGGTGGACACACACAAGCACATACACACACAAACAAGCATAAGCATACACAGGCACACACACAGAGCTGGACACACACAAATGCACACACAGAGGTGGACACACACAAATGCATACACAGGGTTGGACACACACAGAGGTGGACACACACAAATGCACACACAGGGTTGGACACACAGAGGTGGACACACACAAATACACACACAGAGGTAGACACACACACAGATGGGAACACACATACACAAATACACACACAGAGGTGGACACACAAACACACGCACTTATACACACTCAGACGCACACAGAACTCACCTCCAAACACACACACTCACCTCCAAACACACACACTCACCTCCAAACAAACACACTCACCTCTAAACACACACACTCACCTCCAAACACACACACTCAACTCCAAACACACACACTCAACTCCAAACAAGCACACTCACCTCCAAACAAGCACACTCACCTCCAAACACACACACTCACCTCCAAACACACACACTCACCTCCAAACACACACACTCACCTCCAAACACACACACACTCACCTCCAAACACACACACACTCACCTCCAAACACACACACTCACCTCCAAACACACACACTCACCTCCAAACACACACACACTCACCTCCAAACACACACACTCACCTCCAAACACGCACACTCACCTCCAAACACACACACTCACCTCCAAACAAACACACTCACCTCCAAACACACACACTCACCTCCAAACACGCACACTCACCTCCAAACACACACACTCACCTCCAAACACACACACTCACCTCCAAACAAACACACTCACCTCCAAACAAACACACTCACCTCCAAACACACACACTCACCTCCAAACACACACACTCACCTCCAAACAAACACACTCACCTCCAAACACACACACTCACCTCCAAACACACACACTCACCTCCAAACAAACACACTCACCTCCAAACACACACACTCACCTCCAAACACACACACTCACCTCCAAACAAACACACTCACCTCCAAACACACACACACTCACCTCCAAACACACACACTCACCTCCAAACACACACACACTCACCTCCAAACAAACACACTCACCTCCAAACACACACACTCACCTCCAAACAAGCACACTCACCTCCAAACAAGCACACTCACCTCCAAACACACACACTCACCTCCAAACACACACACTCACCTCCAAACACACACACTCACCTCCAAACACACACACACTCACCTCCAAACACACACACACTCACCTCCAAACACACACACTCACCTCCAAACACACACACTCACCTCCAAACACACACACACTCACCTCCAAACACACACACTCACCTCCAAACACGCACACTCACCTCCAAACACACACACTCACCTCCAAACAAACACACTCACCTCCAAACACACACACTCACCTCCAAACACGCACACTCACCTCCAAACACACACACTCACCTCCAAACACACACACTCACCTCCAAACAAACACACTCACCTCCAAACAAACACACTCACCTCCAAACACACACACTCACCTCCAAACACACACACTCACCTCCAAACAAACACACTCACCTCCAAACACACACACTCACCTCCAAACACACACACTCACCTCCAAACAAACACACTCACCTCCAAACACACACACTCACCTCCAAACACACACACTCACCTCCAAACAAACACACTCACCTCCAAACACACACACTCACCTCCAAACACACACACACTCACCTCCAAACAAACACACTCACCTCCAAACACACACACTCACCTCCAAACACACACACTCACCTCCAAACACACACACTCACCTCCAAATACACACACTCACCTCCAAACACACACACTCACCTCCAAACATACACACTCACCTCCAAACACACACACACTCACCTCCAAACACACACACTCACCTCCAAACACACACACTCACCTCCAAACACACACACTCACCTCCAAATACACACACTCACCTCCAAACACACACACT